TCTCGAATTCATGCTGCGTGACTTTCAACCATTAGTCCAGATTCTCTTTTATTCCAAGTGTTCATTATTTATACTATAAAAATTAACAGTGCAATATATTACATCATAATTTAACATTTACGTTACATTACTTACGTAATAATGATATAATATTTATTTAATATATTTACAATAAAAATATAATTAGGATTACAAATGAATCAATCGTTCATGCTCAATTCATTTAAGGCCTTACTCGAGCTCGTTCGTTAACTAAACGAGCTGAGCTTGAACATGACTGTTAGGCTTATTTATTTGGCTCAACTCCTGTAAGCTCATGAGCATAAGCTCATATACATATGCTGGTGAACATAGATTAGTATATGCTCATGAACATGTTCATTGACATAGGCTTGTATAAATTCATGAAATAAGCTCATGAATATTTTCATGAAAGTAAGTTTGTGTAGGCTCTATAAGTTCATGAACAAGCAAAAATGATGTTGAACACAAACTCAAATTGAACCCGAATGACTTTCGTTATTAAACGAGTTGAGTTTTTCAAAATAATGGTGAGCCGAAACCGAACTTAACTTTTCGAACTCATCATAATTTTGAACTGAGCCCACAACAAATGAGTCGAGTCCAAACAAACTCAAGTTCGGTTCAATTCTATTAAAACCCTAAATGTAACACTCATTTTACAAAAATTGAAAACCTTGATAGGTTCAAGCTCGGTTCAATTCTTTTAAAGCCCTAAATGTAACACTCATTTTATAAAAATTGAAAACCTTGATAGGTACCAAATCTTAATTACAAGAGCTAGGTAGTAGAAGCTTTACAATTGTAATTGTGACAAGTATAGGCGTGTGATGAATGGAGTGTGATGAAGTGGTAGGGTGTAGTGATTGAATTGTGTAGGTGTTAATCAGCTTAACATTACACATCTGATTCGGCTGGGTAGTACTGTATGAAGGCTAAATGGGGCTGTTTGGGTAGGAATGGGTGGGCCCCAAACACCACATGATGGAAGGTGGGACCAGAAACTGAAGGGGATGTCTCCACTCCAACCGACTGGGCCGTAGAGGCTGAGCCCAAAGATTGTGGCTTAGGATAGCGACGTCCACTATTATATGTGCAACCAAGACACACCCAACAATACACACCCCATATCTTTTACAATCTTAGGGATTGAGATATGTGAGTCACTTGCCATGGAAACCTAGTGCCCACTTCCAAACAACCGCATAGGTACTTCAATATACAGGTTCAAATTTTTTTGTGGTTATACACACACACACACACATATATATATAGAAAGAGAAAGATGTAGAGAGAGAGAGAGAGAGATGTGGACAAGTACCGGAAGACCTAATTTGTGAGTCCCCACCGCCCCATGTGCATGAGAACATGTTTTCATCAAGTACCTGTTCACTCAAGCAATCTATATCAATTCAATTCAATGAAGTTTCGAGTAATTCTAGAGTTTTAACACAATCCAGATTTTTTATTTTGATTTAAGGTGCAAAATTTCATGCCATTGTTAGTGTACGTGCCACAATGCCTCAAAACCCTAAAATGAGACCAATGTATGGTCGAGGCCACTATTAGTTCACGTGTCCCTTAATTCACTAATACGTACGGGTCACATATTTTATTTTTGCTTTTTGTTTAAACATTTATGATAATATGGTAATGCCATTCTTCATGTGGAACTAATCTCCTCGACCTATTTTATGATACCAGTGTCAAAGAAAGTGTTACAAAGATAGAAAGTGTTACTTATATATATATATATATATACACATCATATGAATTTAGAGTCCAATGTGTGAGTTGGTTTGTTGGGTTGGAAACAGTGAGTGGGGATGGTAAACTTGCACCAATACGAGGGGCCAAAAACGTTATAGCTTACTGAAGCATACACATCCCCATAACTGTGAAAGGATTGACAGAGTCTCATGCACCATCCCAACAAGGAAAGGGATGAGAAATTGATATGAGAATGTATGCGAGAGAATAAATCTCTAGAATATTTGATTTAGGACGTCTTTGGCTTTCTTTTATTTGATTTAATAGAAAAATAGACAACATTGTTATATAACCTTACCTAAGAATGCCTTATCCCAAAAAAGCCAAAAAAAAAAAAAAGAAAAAAAGAAAAGGAAAGGAGGCTTTTTATCTCCCGTTTTCTCCAACTTTTGGAAGGAAAGACTTGGTGTGTCTTAAGCATAAAGCGAAAGTGAATTCAAGAGTTGGAACGTAAAAGCGTCAGAATTAACTCATAATCAGGGAGAATTTGAGTTGGAGCGTGAGAATGGGAGAGCGCTCGAAGCGTGAGAGCGATATCTGTTAAGAAGAATCGTTTGATCTAGGTGTGTCCCGTTATCTTTCTTACAAATTTTTTTATTTTTTATTTTTTATTCTCCTGTTCTATATCCAACAAAAAAGGATTATAAATAATAAATACACCCACATGTCTACATATGACTGCCAATGTGTTTTTTTTTTAAAATTGAAGATGACTTATTGATATTCGGGCCACTCAATATAATTTAAGGTCGAAAAATATTAAAGTGGCCTTTTTAATAGTAATGTATTAATATAAAATAATACGGAGTTGGTAATAATTTTTATTTAAAGATTATTTTTCTTGGTGTTGTTTTGTTAAAATATCTTTTTTAACAGATTGTATAACTAGTCTATTTAAATTTTATTTTTTATTTTGTGACATAGTTGATTTTATATCAAAGAACAATAGAGGCTGATTTTAAAAAAAAATTGGTCCAATGCTCTAGCAAATTCTTCAATCTTTTTATTTCTATTTTGCAGCTTAATTCCAATAAAATTCTGACACCCAAGTAAAAAATTGCTACCTTCATATCATTCCAAAATATCAAAATATGTGAGGGAAAAAAAAAAAAGTTAACTGGGGACGATAGAAAATATATATATATATATATATATATATATATATAATGAATTAAATTATTTGGTCAAACACCCAAGTAAAAAATTGTTTCTATTTTTTTGTAAATAAATAATATTTGTTGATTATCATCATTTCTATCTTTGTTTCTATTTCATTTTAACCTAAGTCACACCATTCTTGTAAATATGTGCTGATCTCACATGTTCTCACTCACATTTTATTTTGTCATTTTCATGCTCCCGTTCTCTCACTCTTATTTTATGTGACTTAGATTATAACTCATCGTATCACATGCATTTTATTATCCGGTATTTGAGAATTGTCACATCGATTTAGGTTTGTTCTTCATGATCATCATTCTTGTCTAGGGCGGGCCTGTTCGTTAAGCAAACGAGTCAAGTTCGACTCTGATTTTTAGGTTCATTTAGTAAATGAGCTAATCTTGAATAAGGCTAAGCTAGTGTAGGCTCGTGAACGTGTTTATAAACATATGTGTTGTATAGGTTTATGAACCCAAGCTTGTGAACTTTGTATAGGTTTATGAACCTAAGCTTGTGATCGAACATGTGTAGATTTGTATAAGTTCATGAACAATTCAAAGTGATGTTGAACACAAGCTCATCGGAATGACTTTTGTTATTAAATGAGCCGAGCTCAAGCTTTCCAAAGTAATGACGAGTCAAGTGCGAGCTCAACTTTTTAAGCTTGTTGCGATCTTGAGCTAAACCTACAAATGAAAGAGCCGAGCTCGAAGAGATTGGAATTCGATTCGGCTCGACTCAGTTCATTTGCAGCTATAATAAATTTAATTACATTTACTAATTATTTTATTTTTTTATAATTTCTTAAAATCATTTATATATAATTATTTCATTTTATATTAGTTTTGGTCTAACAATGTATCTTTTTATCTTCGATGCAAACAAACATTCTTTTTCTTACTTGCTAAAATAAAAAAATAAATAAAAAATCTTACTTAGCATTAACATTCTTTTTCTTGCCGCATTGAGGGTATACATAATATATATCCAAATATGCGAGACTAATCCTTTTTATGCGTCTTCTCATTATTAACATTGTGGTGTTTGTCAAGGGTTTACTACTATGTAAATATGGAAAATGACCCACCCCTAAGGGTTACAGGATGGTTTGAGTATGAGTGAGAAAAATTTGTGTAGGTTTTGAACATGAATGGAAAAAGTACTCTTGTGAAATTATTATGATATTTTTATACTTTACTAAAAACAAAAAGCTAAAATATATTAATGGATTCTCTTATTAAATATAGAAATTTTAGCTTTGCTTTCATTAATAAAATGCTGAATTATTTATTTATTTATTTAAAAAAAAAATATTTGACCGAGCTAGGCGAAAAGTGGGTAAAATGATATTTCAACAAACTCTAGTTCACCAACAGGCCAGTGGCCTAGCGATACCAAGCCTCTATTTCTTAAAGAGAGATAAGACTTTCGCCTCTTAATGGAGGCATGTGTGTGTGAGTACCAATTAGAAAAAAAAAACAAATTCTAGTTCAACCGTAAATACTTAATGTATGCATTATAAATACACATAATAGTCTGCACATAATAATCTCAAATTCATTACGGTGATGACTTGAGTTTGAACTGTTATTTATTACGAATAATTCTCTTCCTCAAATTTTTAAAAAATGAATAGTAAATAAGTAGGAGTTCTTTAAATTTTTTATTAGAGCCCTCTCACAATAATATTACCCTTCAACAAATAAAAGGAAAATACTACTCGTACTAGTATGCCATAGCAAGTAACAGATGAAATAATACACTGACGAGTAACTTCATCATATGACAGTCGGCAACGTGGCACTACGAGGACCAGTTGCAACTGAAACTGAGAGATATATATATATATAAGTGGCCGACAAGGTGACAAAATCTGAATTGTGTACAGGAGTTCCTCCACCGTCAGAGCCGTCCACGTGTAATCACGGATGATCATCCCACCGCGGAACTAGTACGGTCAAGTGCCCGCTCCTACGATGTGCCTCGTCAACCATCTCCACTCACCCATCTGCAATCAAAGAGAGAAAAATCTTTCCAAAAAAAAAAAATCAAAGAGAGAAAAACAGAGTGAGAACACACAAAAACAACACCTCCTCTATCCAATTAGTCTCACACTCCCACTCAACTAGGGGCATTTCAGTAATTCAAAGACACGTGGCAACACAGTCATTTCTTTGTAGTGCAAGGTCAACAAAGTCATTTTAGCGGGGAAATAAATTATTTATTTATTTATTAAATATACTAGATATAGAAGATGTTGTAGTAGAAGATATGTAGAGGAGGATATTTGTCAGGGGGTTCAGAAGCTTAAGCTCCCATACCTTCCACACGCGTATGCACACACTGCCATCGTCGGCAAATGTGTATTCTAGTCGGAAAATATCAAATTCTCTATTTTCCGGCAGTTTTCTGACAGTTCGCTGTCGATTCACGGCGTTAGTGTTTATACTTCGGTAGTTTTTTGTGGTGACAGTTCGTTGTCAATTCACGGCGTTAGTGTTTATACTTCGGTAGTTTTTTGTGGTGATTGTTGGAAATGCAAGATATACATTCGATCGGAGGGGGAGGAAGCCGGTTATTCGGCGGCGGAGACCGGAGGCTGAGGCCGCACAACCACCAGAACCACCAGGCCTTGAAGTGTCCTCGATGTGACTCGCTTAACACCAAGTTCTGCTACTACAATAACTATAACCTCTCGCAGCCACGCCATTTCTGCAAGAGCTGCCGGAGGTACTGGACCAAGGGCGGCGTCCTCCGCAACGTCCCCGTCGGCGGAGGCTGCCGGAAAACCAAGCGGTCCAAGCCGAAGGCATCCTCAGAAGCCGCGCAAAATCGCAAGTCGAACTCTCATTCGAGCAGCGAGAGCTCCAGTCTCACCGCCTCCACCGCTGCCGCGACAGCCACCACCGAGGTAGCGTCGGCAAGCACCTCGACCTCTGCGTCTACATTACTCAACATTCCAGAGTCGAGGTTCTTCATTCCTCATACCACAACCCCTAGTTTACAGACCACAAACCCTAATTTCGATCCGCCGTTGATCGATCAAGTATCCGACGGTGGGATCTTCCCAGAGGTCGGAAGCTTCACGAGCCTGATGACTTCATCCAACGATCCGTCACTTCTAGGGTTCAACATGGCCGACATTTCGTCATACCGGTTGCACCAACACAATCATGCACAGGTTCTACAGAATCACAGCTCCAATCAACAGTGGCAGCAACAGCAAAAGATAACAAGTACCATGCCCGATGATGATCTGAAGATGCAAGACATCACGACTGGGTTTCTCGATCCGACGGCTCAAATTGATCTATCAGGGTTACAGAGCAGAACGTACAACGGTGGACTCGCAGCAGGGGATTGGCATGCTGGTGGGGATGAAGATCAAGATCAAGGTTTGTTTGATCTCACAGGAACCGTAGATCAAACTTACTGGAGTCAAACTCAGTGGAATGCTGACAACGATCACCCTCTTTACCTCCCATAATTTCAACCTCTTTTAACTCTCCAGAAAAACAAACAAAATAAAAAAAAAAAAAAATTTAAATCGGAAAGAAATAGTATGAATGTGAATTGACTGTTTTTTTTTTTATTATTTTTATTTTCTGTAAATTTATTTTATATTTTGGTTTTCTTTTAATTTCTTTCTTTATTTTGGTTGATTTTGAAAAGACGTGTTTGGCTTTGATATTTTGGGGCTTTGGCTTCTGATGTACTGTTTGGAAATTAAGTTGATCAAATATAGAGAAAATATATATAGTGTGTGTGTTTTGTTTGTTTGTTTGTTGTTTGCTAATCTTAGTGTAGTGTGTGTTAATGATTAATTAGTTGTTTAAACAATGAGTTTAACACGTGCCACGTAGCCATTACAGATGTCGATAACACATATATGTATGTAGTTATATTTTTGGATCAGAGGAGTGCACGGAGGAGAGAGGTATGGGGAAGGGTGGAGAGAGAGAGGTACTGGGGTAGGTGTCCTCTGTTGTGGTCGGTTGGGTGGTGGGGGCCACGTGGGAATGACAAGTCCCATGCGTTGATTGTGACTCCACGTGGCGGTGAGGTTGGATGTACGCATCGTGTTAATGAGTTGAGGCACGTGGGGGTGCGTTATTGGCAAGAGAGTTGGGGAAGGGAAGGGGGTCGGTTTGTCCTCTATGCTTCTCTCTCTAGATATATACATTTATCTCTCTATTGAAGTAGGGATTGTGTGTGGGGCAGCTTAGAGTAGACAGTAAAGGACGTTGATGTGATGATATGATGATGAGGACGTGGAGACTTTTGTGTGGTCAGTGGGGACCGCATCGTAGGTGGATGGTTACTGGTGAAGTTGTTAAGTGGGTCCAGTGCCCAGACGGTTTATATTCTCACTGCATCTTCATAGAAGTGGTCTGCATTCTGCAATCTCAAGTAATGCTCATGCATTTGGTGCGTGTCTGCTTCCACCATCATCAGTCATCACTCGACCATGATGGATCAATATATATATATATATATCCACAGAGTCCATGCCTATTGGAGAAGTTCCAAAGTAATTTTTTTTTTTTTAAATTGGAGAAGGTCAGATGTTTTCAGGAAGGATCCAAATAGTTACGTGAGTAGGGACAACCTTTAACAGCGACAAAAAAAAAAAAAAGAAAAAAAGAAAAAATCAAATCATTATAATAAGCAAAATAACTTTATCATTTATTGATGATTCCATTGAGTACGTTTAACATTGTCCTCGATGATTTTTCATATTTTAAAAACGTCGTATGATAATTTTATTATTTAAGATAATAGATATATCTTTTTCAATATACGCTATCAAATTATCACTCATCCATTCATCTCCCATCTTGTTGCGTAATCGATTCTTCATGATTTTCACAACAAAAAATGCCCTATTTACAGTGGTAATTGCAACCGGTAAGATCAATGCCAATGGCACAAGTAAATACACTTGTGAATGCAACTTGTCCCTTTAGGTTTGAACCATTTTCTTTGCAAGATCACCAATCCCTTTTAAACCTTCAAACTAGCTACTAGAGCGCACATCCGCAATATAATTCTCAAGTTGATCACCAAGGTTTCTAGGATCAATGCCAATGTAACAAGAAGAGAAAGGGCTAGCCAGCTAGGTGTCACGCCCCGCCTATGGAGGTTGTACCACGCAGGTGACACGCAGACGCTAAGGAAGACGCTGCATGGCAACTGCATGGCAAGTGGAGTTTCTAGAGTCTTCCGGAGTAGTCTAGAGTTGTGTGGAAGATTCTAGATATGTGTAGTATATTCTAGAAGTGTGTGGAAGGTTCTAGAATTCTCCAGAATTGTGTGGAGTAGTATGGAGGGTTCTAGAATGTTGTAGATATGTATGGAGATGTGTAGAAGGTGGAAGAAGATTCTAGATAATCAATCTGCACCGTTGGTTAGAATGCATCCTAGCCATCCATTAGGGATGGGGATGCCTATAAATAGGAGTAGGACTTCATTTTGCAAACAACAAGTCCTAGAGTAAGTCTTGAGAGCCTTGTAGTGAGCTTGAGTGCTAGCCTTGTACAAAGCATTCTTTGAAGTAATAGAAGTGTTCTTTCCTTGCCAACTTAAGTGCCTTAGTGTGTGTGAGTGTGCAAGCCAAGTGAGGAGAGGGCGAGGGCAACTACAACACTAGTAAGCGCACGAGGGGAGTGTGTTGGCTAAGGTGTGCACGGGAGTTAGGCTGACCAAGTACTTGCGAGAGTGAAAGCAACGTCTTGGTGCCGCACGGGAGCAGCTAGAGTGGTGCTGAAACTCTAAGCCCGTGACAGTTGGTATCAGAGCAGGTTCGTCAAGGGAGCTTTGTTGGAGTAGACATGGCTAGCGGAGGAGACCACCAAGTCCACATCTTAGAGCAGAGCTTGGAGGAGAAGCTTGCCACACACTTGGTCTACACGGAGACCAAGTTTAATAGGCTCGAGAGAAGGATGGCGGAGCTCTACGAGCTGATTGATGGCATCGCCAACAAGGCGCAAGAGAAAGAAAGGGACTTGCATGATTTGGTAGACGACTTGCGCGTGGAGATTGCCGAGTGCAAGAAGGAGTTCTCCCAGGCGCGCGAGGTCGTGGTGAAGCCAAGGAAGAAGAAGGCGCCGGAGCCCAAGGAGTACGATGGGGCAAGGAATGCGCGCCAGATTGACAACTTCTTTTGGCACATGGAGCGGTACTTCGAGTGCATGGAGATCGAGGATGATGAGGAGAAGGTGCAGACAGGCACTATGTACCTCACAGACACCGCCGCTCTATGGTGGAGGCAGCGCTTCACTGGTAGAGGCGCAAGAGCAGTTGACACATGGGAGGAGTTCAAGAGGCAGCTCAAGAGGCAGTTCTACCCTGAGTGCGTTAAGGACCTGGCCATGATCAACCTAAGGCGCTTGAAGCAGAAGGGCAGCATAAGGGAGTATGTGAAGGAGTACTCCAATTTGATGCTGGAGATCCCAGAGATGCCGGAGCGGCAACGCGTGTGCTTGTTCATAGATGGGCTGCAGTCTTGGGCGGCCACGGAGCTAAGGAGGAGGGAGCCTAGAGACTTGGCATCCGCAATGGCTATAGCGGAGCGCCTCGAAGACTTTGGGCGCGATGACAAGAGGGCCACGTCTCCCAGGAGGGACCACGGCAAAGGTGGGGGAGACCGACGCTTCAAGAAACGGGGCTCGCCCAAGTCTAGTGATGATGAGCACAGCGATGAGGAGAGATGCCCACGCCATGATAAGGGCAAGGACCATGGAGAGAGGTCCAAGGCTAGTGGCAAATGGGAGCGCCGCGATAAGGGCAAGTGGGAGCCGAAGTGCTACTTGTGCGAAGGGCCGCACATATTGCGACACTGCCCCAACAAGAAGACCATGAGCGCCCTTGTGAAGGATAAGGGCAAGGGCAAGGTGGATGATACGGGCAGCGATGAAGATAGGTGCATGGGGGCTATGCAGATGCTGAGTAGCATGGCGCATAACACCAAGAAGAAGGGCAAGGTAAAGAAGGTAGCTGGGGTGCGCTATGTGGATGCGCAGGTTGGTGGCAAAGCCGTGCAAGCGTTGGTAGACACGGGTGCTACACACAACTTCATTACCCTGGAGGAGGCGCAACGACTTGGCTTAGAGATGCGCAAGACAGAGGGCTGGATCAAGGCCGTCAACTCCGAGGAGGCACGCGTGAGTAGAGTGTGCAAGGAGGTGGAGCTATGCATGCAAGGATGGAAGGGCAAGGCCGACTTCCAAGTTACGGAGATGGACGACCATGACATGGTGCTGGGGCTGGAGTTCATGGACAGGAACAACGCCGCGCCACTACCATGCCTTGGTGCGTTGATGATACTTGGAGGCGAGGAAGGCAAGGCCGCATGCATGGTGCCGCTCGTGGGCAGGAAGGAGAGTCCAGAGGTGGCAGTCAACACGATGGAGCTCGTGAGGACTTCACATCTCCCGAAGGGCGCTCGTACGTTTGGGCCAAGGACATATGCGCAAGTGCTGATGACCTGCGAGAGGCTGGGTCAGTTGAAGAAACCGTGACGAGGGCGTCACGGAAATGGGTAGGGGAGAATGTCACGCCCCGCCTATGGAGGTTGTACCACGCAGGTGACACGCAGACGCTAAGGAAGACGCTGCATGGCAACTGCATGGCAAGTGGAGTTTCTAGAGTCTTCCGGAGTAGTCTAGAGTTGTGTGGAAGATTCTAGATATGTGTAGTATATTCTAGAAGTGTGTGGAAGGTTCTAGAATACTCCAGAATTGTGTGGAGTAGTATGGAGGGTTCTAGAATGTTGTAGATATGTATGGAGATGTGTAGAAGGTGGAAGAAGATTCTAGATAATCAATCTCCACCGTTGGTTAGAATGCATCCTAGCCATCCATTAGGGATGGGGATGCCTATAAATAGGAGTAGGACTTCATTTTGCAAACAACAAGTCCTAGAGTAAGTCTTGAGAGCCTTGTAGTGAGCTTGAGTGCTAGCCTTGTACAAAGCATTCTTTGAAGTAATAGAAGTGTTCTTTCCTTGCCAACTTAAGTGCCTTAGTGTGTGTGAGTGTGCAAGCCAAGTGAGGAGAGGGCGAGGGCAACTACAACACTAGTAAGCGCACGAGGGGAGTGTGTTGGCTAAGGTGTGCACGGGAGTTAGGCTGACCAAGTACTTGCGAGAGTGAAAGCAACGTCTTGGTGCCGCACGGGAGCAGCTAGAGTGGTGCTGAAACTCTAAACCCGTGACATAGGGCTCAATATTGTCGCAAGTAGCAAAATATAATGATGAAGGGGTTTTGATGGTTAGATAACGTATTGATGTTTCAGTTTAAGTGGTTTGGGCCATTGGCCCTTTCTCTTTAAAGAACCTTAATGTGAATTTGTGAAAACAATAGTGCTAATTTTCTAAAATTTCTGTGGAGGCAATAGTTAATTTTTATAGATATATATTTTAAAATATTTTTTTACAAGGTGTAAAAAAAAAAAAGAAAAATTTAATTTCCAGTGGGGGCAATTGCCCCCACTGGACTGTGAATGCATCCGTCCCTGGATGTATGTATATTGGGTTGCAGAGGAGGTGATTTTTAGTTTTGATTTTATTTTTTAAATCACAATAAAATAATTTTAGCATTGCACTATCGGAATATAGATTTCATAATAGATAGTAGGGACATAGATGTAGACTACGTATTCAGGTCATATAAATATCATGGTTGGAAGAGTGATTTTATAATTGGAGTCGATCTTCTATAATAAAATTAAACTACATTATTTGACAAGACACGGAAAAATTTCGCCTGCATGATACAAATGGTTACAACTATGATGCATTAGATGGGTGAGTTGGAGGTCCACTAACCCGGACTCAAATTTAATCATGGTGCCTTAGATTAGTGTTGAACATTTTATATTTTCCGAGTTTGGGTTGTAACGTTTCCTGAGTTGACAGAATTTTATATATTCTTATAAGAGATATGAGTACCTTTTTAATTAAAAGGCACCGATAGTAATAATTCTTAAACTATTATGAATTCAATATATATATATATATATTTCCTAAGCATCATCGATTCAATATTATTAACACGAAATCTAAATATCAAAACTAAATATTTTTACAAAATATATAAAATAAGTTTCACATTTAAAAGTACTTTTTTTTAGTAGGATAAGGTCACAAGAAATGTACTAGTGATATTTTTTTCACTTTTAAAAGTAAAAAGTAGAGGGTTCAAGTTCTTATAAGCACAATTTGCAATGTGAACGTAAAACTATTTTTAGAAAATTATGTACATTGTTCTTTAAAAACAAACATTTTTTTAACTAATTTTTAGGGGAAAAAAAAATTTGGCTTTTCGATTTGAATTTTATGAAAATTTGTATAATCTAGTAATATCTTATTTACATTTCAAAAACGGAAGATAAGAATTCCCGTCCTCAATTTATTATCTTATGAGAAGAGCCTATCACTAATCAAATAATTCAATTTATTTGCAGCTTACAAGAATAGAACTACTGCACAATAATTATTAAGCCAAGGTAAGACTTTAGTGGGGATAGGCTTGAGACTACTCCTTTAGGACCTACGGAAAGATAATGAGGAGTGATGGTGACGATGTTTGCCATAAAATGGGACTATAGACTTTGGTTCATTTAATTAGCAAGTTTATAGAAATTGTTTAAGATTCATATAGGATTATTCTCTAACGAATTGAGTCTAAATTATTTATAAACAACTAATTTTATGTTTAAAAATATCGAATCAGTGTTCTGAAACACCAGGAATGATGATAATGATTAGGACAAGGTTAGAAACTTAAAAATAAGCCTATGTTTTGGGTGAGTATGGATTTTGAGACTCTCCTCCTTAATGACCTATGGACAGTTCAAGGGAAGTGATGGGTGACATTGTTTGGCTTGAAATGTGAAGTGGCATGGGACCATGACTTAGGTCAGATGTAACCTGTTGAGGAATGTGTGTATAACCATGTGGCCTAAGTAGGGCAGAAGGACCAAGTTGGCATGGGCCTGGAGTTAGCAAAGCAATTTTGCTTGGAATTGATGGCATGTTCTCAGCTTAGCTATGGCCAAAGAGTTGTCTTGCTTGCTCAATTTAAATTTCCATGCCAAACCTTATTAAATGTACTGGTACCATAATTTCCACACCTTGTAATTGGGAATAAAATTTGGCCATTAACTAATGACTTAGTTGGTAGAACGTCCAACTCACCAAGCAAGTGTGTCTGTGTTTGAGTCCCTCCTCATCGTAGTTTGTCAAGGAAAAAAAAAAAATAGAGAATAAAATTCACATTAGTGCAAATTTTGAACTAATTTCCCTCCAATTCTGATTCTGAACAAGCCATCAAAAGCAACAAAACAAATTTTCAGGTGCAACTTCAAGGTCAAAACACTAAACATTAGCTGTTGATGAGCTATTAGGTGTTGAGACAAAATGGATGTGTATATCATATGCATTTTAATGACTGGGCAAAAGAAGTTTTGGAAGGCTGATCTGAGAAAAACAAATCCCATATTTCAACATGAACCTAGCTTCAAACTCTTGGATAATGTAGTTGAACTAGGTTTACAGACTATTTACCCAAAAAAAAAAAGGTTTACAGTCTAATTTTCTGCAACTTCCAAGAGAAAACAGTGTAAATAGCACAAAATTCTAATAAAACCAGGTCAATGCGAATTATAACTTTTTTTTTCCTAGTTGGTACTCACAGACACTTGTTTCTTCTGAGACTTGAATCCTTGACCTCCTTTTGGGAAGTAAAAGGCTGATACCGTTAGGCCACTGTCCCGGTAACTATAACTATAACTATAACTATAACTTGTAATAGTGAAGCAAACTTTATCAAATAAACGAAATTCATCCTTGCAATACTTGTCAAGCAATGCATTTGGATTCAAATGTGCAAGCAACTAACAATAATATGGTATTTGGCAACAGAACCAAGATTCTAAATCCAAACTGTTTCATTTAAATCAAAAGTTGTATGTTTCAAATCATAACCGGGCTATGGCATTCCATTCTGGAACATCTGCTACATTCAAAGCAATTCTTGATCAAAGGAGAAAAAGATAACGTAAAAGATTACCACATCAAAGGAGGTCACACACACACAGAGCACTTAGAATTTACAGCAGAGAAAACCAAATTTCCAACGCTTCCTTAACTGCCTCCGGTCAGCTTCCATCATTCTTACGGGGCTGTCATTCCATTCTGAGGGTAATCTGTTCATTTTAGAGTCTAGTTACTTTGACAAATCAGTTTGAATATATAAATTGAAAAACCAGAACAAAGAAAATTATAGGTCAATAGAAAATTACACAGGGAAAGCGAAGGATCGTGTGCTAGTTGTGCTGCTATTTGACCGATGAGAGATGCTACCAGAATATGCTATTTGCCCTGAATTTGCTTTTGGGCTTGAAAGAAGGCCAAATGCAGAGAAAGTGGACTCTCCATGATCATGAAGACCAATGCCGTTTTGATCCAACTCTACTAAACTTTCTGACTTCCCATTTTTAAGCAAGGAGATGTTTTCATTTTGAAGGGGCTGTTGAAAATCTGCACTTTCTGAGTTCTCCTCTCTTCTGTTTGTTGTGGTTATCGACGACTCACAATCATGAGTGTTGTTTTTATTCTTCATGTCACTTTTAGAAGCAGGCACCACTGCATGCCTCTTGTTGTTGATTGTTGCAGTAGCAGAGACTACCATAGAGGGTTCAAGACTGACTTCTTAATTGGAACCTGAAATTTTTTGGAAAATCAATATCAAACTCTATAGTTATGATATAAAAATGCAAAAGAAGCCTGTCTACTCTCTTCACATTCACAAAAAATATAGGAATTTCAGACATTGCCTCCAAGTTAGAGGATGGAAGTGCAGCAATTGCCATCCATTCCCTAGCATTTGATGATTTTAAATAGAAGAAGAAAAGAAAAGAAAAGAAATAAGAAGCAATAAATAGGTATGCCCAAACATAGCTGTATCACAACCCACCTAAAAGTTTTGTAGTTAGTGCCCAAAAAAGATTGTGGCTGTTTGTCAACATTTATGGTAGAATATACGTGTTTCCTGAAGATGATAATTAAAATTAAATTATATACAGATATAATCACATATTATGTAGAATTTCCTATAGTTTTGGTGTAAAATCTAAACTGTTAGGTTACTAGAAGCGATAGCAAACAAATTTTCGGCTAGAATGCTGTCATGCCTTTTGCTTTCTGCTAAGGTTCCGAGTTTGAACAATGACCAATCTCACCATAAAGACTTTGGTGATGGATGAGTGAGCATACATAAATGGTAACACTGACTGAAGATTTTTAAGACAGGGATTTCATAGGTAAAAGTATTCCACAAAGATAGCTTGCTACTCTCTTATGATTATTAAATATGATATTTTAAAAAAAAGTTATTTGGTGATTTGAGAGTAACACCATTGAAGTTTAAGGTAATTATGTGCTTAGAAATAATTATTAAAAGGATCATACAATATATACATCAAACATTTTACTTTTAAAATCAACAGAATGATTGCTCATGTATAAAATTGTCTTGTATAAAACAAATGGGGGTTCAAAGTTTAAATGAAAGCAAAACACTCTATAGACATGATGGTGATTCCTCCCTTTTGAGGGTCCAAGACAACTTGGAAACCTTTATTATACATTAATTTTTTCTTCATCAATATTACAGTAAATGTTAGTAATAAAATAGCTAATATTTCTTGTAAGTCTATATTAATATACACAAGGCTATACATAAAAATTCTGTTGTACATTAAAATTTTCTCAATTAACATTTGAGTAAAAATGAACATAAAATTAGTTGTTTTCTAAAGTAGATTTATGTTAACACGTGAAGAGGCCATAGCTTAGTGGTCCAACAAAAGCTCAGGTTATCAAGCATAAGAACGCGAGTTCAGCTACGACGATAGATAGCTGCTTTGTGCAAATAATGCTAGAGGTCAGCTTGTTAGTCAATCCGCCTGTTCCAGCACCTCGAGTGACAGGATCATCACTGACTAATAGCTTTTACGTTTTAATATTTATATCTAAAGAATTTCAACCAAGAAATAAAATAAAAATCTATCAGCCTATCATTATGTACCATAATTACTAAAATTTGAATAAATTCTCACTCTACCCTTATTTAGTGCTTAAACTTTTTAAATCTTATCAAAATCATACCAAAATCTTCTCCCTCTAATGACAAAATGAGCATCCAGCCCTTGATACATTTCAAAAGCCATGTTTTATTACCACTACATTCATGCTGTTGCTTTTCCTCTTTCAGGTGCAGTGCACAACGCATGTCAACGGCCCCACCACTCTACCAGTAGAAAATTGCATGTGAAGACTCGTCTTTTATTTTAAATGGACAACCATGAAAATTTTCCATCATCTTCATAGAATTCAATCAAATCGCTCGATTTAATTATTATGGAATATAGGATTCGGCACTCACTTAAGGAAACATGACTTATAAGCAATGAAACCAGCTTTCTAACTATAGAGGTGAGGTGAGATTCAGAGGAGAACAGCTCTTGAACTGCTGAATCAGGTTTCTGAGGTGGGCCAATCAGATTTAATTACTCATGGATTATCCACATTTTTTAGGGAGGGTAGTAAATTTACAATTTATAGAAAAGTGAAAAATTCTCCAAGACAAATCATGGGCTATAATTCATAATAAAGATATAGTCATAAAGTGTTACTATCCATGGTGGCATGCCACCAAATGATCCACTCTGTCCAATCACAAAAGCTAGAGACATGAAATCATTACCTCTGTTTCATATGCAAGGACTCAGTTTTGAGCCTACGCTAATGGTTCCTACAACACTGTGAGCCGGAAACCTGGACAAACTGCAAATTCATTTTGCAGGAAATTACGTTAAATAATATTGTTTTCTAGGTGCCAAGTGATTATATTTACATTTCTGAAACAAGCCTTCCTTTCCCAAAAATCGAACTTTAATCTTTTCCATCTCCTTCGGGTTTTGATAAACTTTGAAAGGATTCTTATCAGGCTTATCAGCCAGAATGAAATGGCAACACATAGGTTCATTACATGAAGGATACTAATTGTTCAGTACTACAGCAAAAGCCACAATTGTGTATATATATATATATGTTTTAAGATGTCTGTCATCTTTTAAATGTTTCCAATGCAAATGCATATATACAAAAATAAAGATATAAACGAAAAAAAAGGTGTAATATAAACACTAGTAGTTTGAAAGGTGAAGATTGGAGTAGAATAGAAAGTGTTTGTAACAGCCTATTGTGAAGATGAAGTTGCAACAAAGTAGAAGAAATAAGTGTTACAATATCATGAAAAACATAAGTGCATTCATTATTCATTAAAGCTGTATTTGGGAGAACCAAATCAGTGACTTGGAATTGGAATTGGAGGAAATTTACTTGAAACTAGGAGCCAATTTGGTGCTTCCAAACGCAACATAAGTGAATTTGTACGTCATATTCTCAGATCTTCTGATTGGGACAAGTTGACAACTGACCTACGGTTAAAGTAAAAATTATTGGTGGTTAAATGCGTGCCAAGTTTATCATTGCTTTTGCTTCACAGTACCAAAGATGCAGGATAGAAGAAGAAAAGTTCAGTGAATTGGGGAAAATGTCCAAACTAAATGTACAAAAGAAATCACAGTAAATGAAGCAAATATGAAGAAAATTACCAAGTTTCAAGTTTATATAATCTGCAAACAAATTGAACTTGCACATTATATATTTATAACTGTTACCAGAAATATATTTTAGCAAAATACAATGAAGCTTTGAGAAGATATCTGCACTCACCCAATTCACCGAGCAGATTACAACCAAAATGCCCTCAGAAAGGTCAGTTCCTTCTCCTTAACATGTTTTTTTGTCTCTGGAATAGGAAAAAAATGAGTCAAATTATTATGAGAGGTGGTGCAGAGGTAATTTGTGTGGTCAACTTGGAAGGCTTTTAAACAACAACTATAGAATCAACAAGTTACGGTCCACAAATCATGAGCAAATTTATTTAGAAAAACATTTCATGATTTCAAATAATATAATTAGCACTGAACAAATATGGAGTAAATAAATAATCAAAGGTAACCAATAAGTATTTTCCCGATACAAACCCATCAGGTACATCTACTTACCAATCACGGATTTTGCATCTCCATTGCAAGGTCATTTGCTTCTCTTGGAAAACAAAAAGTGTCCCTAGTGACCATAATCACTCTGAGATTAGGAAAAATTATTTAGATGATTATGAACAGTGAACTGGATGTGATCTGTGCTCTCAATTTGGGACTCCTTCAAACAAAAACTATAAAATCATCAACTAGTAGTACATCAGCAACACAAATCACGAGCAAATACAAGCATAATTTATTCAGATCACCACCTTCATGACTTGTATCCAAATAAGCAGCAGTTAACAAATATGATTTTTATCTATAAATACCAGAGCTGTGAATGAGTGATTCATCTCATTCAAGCCTTTACACAATTCTCTCCTTTTTCTTCTTTTTATATTTCTACTTACATACATATAAATCAGTGGTAACCAATAGTACATAATTATCTTATCTAACATTTTGCATATCCAAGTGTTGAGAATATCAGGATTGTAGTGAATGCGGACCATAATCATAAACAGAACTGCAGCTATAATTCTAAATAGAAAGTAGCATACTTAAATTGAAAAACTAACTTTCCGAGAAAGTACCAGCAATTATGAAATATATCGAGCCTTCAAGCTAGAATCAAATTGAGATTGTCGTAAGATTTTGGTGCGAAGTGGATTCACTCTGCAAAATGCTATATCTTGTTTGTGATCGAAAGTACTAATAAGTTAAGGGCTGTAACAAAGTACCAACGAAGTTAGCAACCCCAATATCCCACAAGCGCAGCCATACCAGAGCTCATCATTAGACAATAAAATTTTGTGAATAAGCTTTCTAAGACTAAAGTCAAAGAGAAAGTAAAGGAATACTCAAGTACTACCAAGAAAAGATAGACTGCAATGAAAAAAAAAAAATCAAAGTATGGAGTGAATGAGAAAATAAAAGAAAGGCTTGACTACACGACGGCTAATATATTTTCTACAAACATGACTAGTGACCAATAGAAGAAAAGTAAAACCATATGAAAAGGAGAGATAATAGACTAATAATAAAATAAAAATAAGAATGTTTTTTAATGGGTTTCAACATTAAACCAAACTACACTTTTCACACTTTTTGTCATTAGGGTTACCAAATAGAATCAATATTGAACACCTAATATGGATCAAATATATGCAAATGCACCCACACTCACAATATTACCCATAGCAGGGCTTGAACTCTCATTCTCAAAGGAGAGATTAGACCGTTTGGATTAATGCCCATTGGTAACACCGATCAAATATTAATGTACTGATCAAAGCACATGATTACTAGGAATTTAAAGCTGAAATTAGTTTACAATCATTCTTTGGAATGAAAGATTCCACCTGAAAAAGGCTTTATGAAAAAAGTTTCATGAACATTTCAGGGTTTCATAGACAATCCTTGTAATCTAACTTATCAATTAAAAATGTGATTGAGAAAAGTTAAAAAATGGGGTCTCACATAATTTGAAAAAGCCAAAATTATTCCCTATCCTGTTTAAAATTTTCATAATTCTCAATATAAATATAGAACCAGAAAATTTGAATAAATTATACAGTTAATGAATTAAAAAAAAAGAAAAAAAAGAAAAGAATAATCAATATAAGGTACCTTAATTGATCAGTGCAGAAACAACTCCAATTTGTTGATTATTATTGCCTGCAAATACAATTGAAATAGTTAGTTAGAGAAGAAGAAGAAAGAAGATAAAATATAGGATGATATTATTGCTAATGGAATTAAATATTAGATATCGAAACAATAAGAAACCTAGAGAGAGAATTTAACAAAACGAGAGACAATACCATCACTATGTGAATGACAAAAGAAGTATTTAAAGCTTTCTAGGTTGATCCTATAAATCCCAAAAGGTCAGTACGTTCAAGCATCAAATACCCATGAAACTTGATCTTTTAACTTCCTATCTGTACCCCAGTGCCGGAGATACGTTCACTCCGGCGATCATCGCCGACGATAATAGCTTTTCCTTTGGCCGCTATCTATAATTTCATATACATATATTTTCATAACATACTTGCATAACAAGTGAAATTAAAGTCCTTGATTAAAAACCATCCCTTGACTTTGTTTCAACAGCATGATTGTAACTATAATTAAAAATTATTGAATTAGATAATTCATTGCAAATATTCGGTATAAATATTATTACTTTTAAATTAAAGAAGCATTTCTAAACATTTTGTATCTCGAATCGTAAATTTTATGTGAAGAGCAATGCCCAAACGATGAAATTTGATGATAGATAGTTACCGATAATAAGTTATAAATGAAAAATTATGTCATACATGAATAATAATAAGTAAATGTTAAGGTACAGAGAAAACGTTTACTTTGTGATTCTAGTGCAATTGGTACTATTTCTCATGAAAAATATTGTATTCCTTTTTCTTTTTTTATATATAAATAAAACAAATATCTCTCTCTCTCTCAGAACACTTGTTATTATCAAATAATACTAAATTTCTCATGAGATAATATTGTGAACATGTATGTGAAGAGTATTTGCAAAAAATACTAATTTTAAGTTTGTACCCAAGTCCCAGGACCCCCAGCACACTTCATTATCAAAAACTGCAATGGTTATTGACAAACTTCCCAAGTATTTTGTTTAGTTCAAAATATAAGTCACTGAATCCAATTTTCCTTCTCCGAATACAATAAAATAGAGGTCAATTATTATTATTTTTTTATTATCCTAATGAGGCCAAATTGAGACCTTTGAATTTTCAATTGAAAATAGCCCTTGTTTTTGCAAGGTTCAAATTTATATGAGATATATTAGTAATTTAATTGAGGCTGCAAATTGCGTTGGGTTCCAAGTTTGTGGAATGGGGTGGCTCATGCAAATTGCGTTTGAATTGGAGTGGAATGAATGAATGTTTGGCCAAAAATGTGATTGTAACGTTTCACCATCTATTTAATGAAATTTTGTATTATGAAAAGAAAAATGTTAGTTTGGGACAAAGGGAGTCGTCGTAGCTAATTAATGGTCAACTATCAATTCCATATGGTGTAGCTTTCCGTAACCAAATTGAAGTAAGCTGATTAGAAACATGAGCACATTTTGGTTTGGTCCAGCAAAGCAATCAACTGACATTGCCCAACTCTTTCAACCACTTGATCAATTTTTCCATCCTTAAATCAAGTATGATGTATCAGCTATCAAGACTTTTGCAACTTCAATTTCTTGTTACAATGTCTCTAGTTTGTATGAGGAGTTTCTTCGGTAGCATGAGAGAGACAATTTGTAAGGCATACAATAACAATTTCAAGGCATATGCTATAGCTAGCCCATGGAGGCGGCAAGGGCAATTTAGTCCAATTCAACAAAATATAGATATATTTGACCTTGCAATGGTTAGAGGGTTAGTATTTAAGGGGGAGGGATAATTGAACTGAAAATCATAAGGGGGAGAGTATCTTAAGTGTTTGGTCCTTTTGACTAGGACAGCAGCACGATCATGCCTAAAAGTATTAATTTTCATTCTAGCATTCTGATCATAATTATTTTTCTTAAAGGAATCAATATTGATGTTGAAACTGTCATTTTATTTTTTATTTATTTTAAGTGATCTATTTTCATATTTGGTGGGGTGAGATTTTTCACATAATGCACTAAAATGATACAAAGATTTACCTCAATTTTTTAGCAGAAGGTGTCCAATTCGCAAAATTGAGTAGGAGTGGAGATGATAAGCAGAAGAGACTAGGTGTCCAAGTATTTGGTTATAAGAAATGTAAATGAAATGCAAAGGGGATGGACATTTTGATTATTATTGTCATAATATGGTAAGACCTTGAGGTCAATAATGTAATTTGAGAAAAAAAAAAATGAAGTTATTTTACGTGGGAATACATGGTTTGAGTCAGAAAACCGATTGTACTTTGTTAGTCTAAACATTGAAGTATATTCAATAAGATAGGAGCAAATTCAATATTTCATTAATCAAGTTCTCTAAAGACTACTTAACATTTATGGTATATTTCTTCACAACTCAAGCAAAAAAATTTTTTTTGCCACTTTTGTGGTGAGATTGGCATAGGTGTGGACCCAAGAATTATCGTAGTGTATTATACTTATATAATACTCATACTTAATGCCTAAAATTCTCTTTGTTGCTTTTTTTACTTCTCTTCGTCTACGATTTAATTATTGAAAACATTCAAATGTAACACGAGAAGTGAAATTTATATATATTGTAATTCTTTTGTAACAAGAGCTCAAAGCTATGAGACCTTGAAATTAAGGATATTTGTTCCCTTTGCAGTACAATTAAGAAGTCTGCTAAAAAAAATGGAAGAGATAAAAACTCTCTCTCTCTCTCTATATATATATATATATTTATTCCTTTCTTTTTAGGCAAACAATAAAAGAAATTCAGGTGCATCCAGTTGTTTTCATAGATAATAATCATAATACACTTTCATTAATTGGGAACCATTTGATCAAAGACTAATGTTATTCGAAATTAAAAGTGACCATAGATCAGATTAAACATCAATCTTAATCCAATTCGGTCAACGGATTGGAAAATTCTCAATCCGACATCAATTCGTGGGATAAGGGATCAAAACTGTGTAATATCAAATTGGATTTACATATTGAGGTTTACCCAAATAGTCCAATATTATTATTTTTTAACTATGGCCCAAAAAACAAAATTTCAATTTATTAACATTAATTCATATATTTAAATGATTATTAATTAATACATTATTAGAGGTCATTAATGATCATTAGTTAGTTTTTATTTTCAAATATCATTTACTATTACATACTTAGAATATATATATATATATATATATATATATATATATATATATATATATATATTATGGATCAAATCGAATTTTTAACCGTCTAATTGGTAATTCGATCCGTGAACTATGAATTCTATATTATTGAATCCATTACCGATTCGTGAGTTTAACAATTCAATCTGATCTGCGCGGATTAGTTGGAATCAGATTGAATTGGCAGATCAAATGCACAACTCTATTCAAAATAACAAAATAGACTGGATATTTATTGGTCACTTTTCTTTTGAATAAGAGACTTTGAACCCCTTCCTTGTTTTTGCGTGAAACTTGATCCCATTGCTTTAGAAAATGCATTAACACTATCTTAAAATGAAAAAACATAAAAATAAAAGTTAATCAAGGATCAAATAATAATTGAGCATTAAAGAGAGAATACAAAGTTAGTATTGCGATTCTTCAAGTGAAATAAATATATATTTTTTCAGAATAGTTGGGTAAGGGATTTTATATATATATATATATATATATATATATATATATGTTGAAAATATATTTTATGCTGATTAATGAGACCATTTAACTACTCCTTATTAACTTGAATGGGAATAAGACGAGAGCGTCCTCACCTAGTGGTTGATTTAATTTGAATTCGTAAGAGTACGAAAGTATGGGATGGTGATGGCATATAGTATAGTTCAAGAAAAGTCAAGGGCATTCTAGTAAACTGCTTTTCGCCGATTTTCCATTGTAAGATCCGAACAGGCGTGTCTCTCTCTCTAGTTCTAGTTCAGTAACACACACTTCTTGGAGGCAAATCAATTCATCCGATTTTCTTCTTTCATTTCAAATTGATTTGAAAAAGGAAAAAAAGAAAAATGTACGAGCCCCAACATTTTGTGGATTTACATGACAATGCCGGTTTTGGAGACCCAAATTCTTGGCTGTCCGGTGAAGATCATCATCATCATCATCACCATCACTCATCATCGTCTTCGGCTCTTCACCAAACTCAATCTTCTGTCTCTAATGCCACCACTGCCAGCGCTTCTAATGTCGACCGTGTCCTCTTCAATGACCTCGTCGAGATTGTCCCCCTTGTTCAGTCTCTAATTGTAAGCCCTTTCTCTCTCTCGGTGTATAAAATCTCAATCTTTCCCTCTCTCTATACTTGAAATTTTACTTAGGTTTTCTTGAATTTCGTTTGCTAAACATGAAATCAAAAGAAAACAGATATTGTGAAATTGAGATTGAAAAAGAAAGGTTTTTTATTTTATTTTATTTTATTTTTTATCTTTGAATAAAAAAATTGTTTTCTTCACTTTTCCTACATTATCTTGGCAATAAAGGTTGGATTCTGTGTATAAATTTTGTAGGAAAGGAAGGCGAACTCATCGTTTACTCGTCGTGGTTCAGTGATCTACACTAAGACGCCTTCTAGAGATTCACTCTCCAAGAAAGTAAGAGTTTTTATACGAGGGTTTGATTTATATTAAGATTTGTTTTTCAAATTCTTTGGCCATTGTGCAAAAAATTTGGGCTTTGTGGGTTAACTTACCATGAATTGGTTTTTATATATCATGGTTGGAAAGTTTTTATTTTTCTTGTTTTACTCTACTTTTCCATAATTTCGCAATGTTCTTCGAGTGGATGAAGTAATATTACATGCTATTTAGCTTTAAACCATGTAATATATAAATTATTTGCAGCTTTTCCCTTTGGAACTTTTTATTTAGTATTTTTACTATAAACCCTAGTTAGTTGATTTGGCTGGCCTTGGTGAGCAAGTGAAAGTGATGCATTTATGACATATAAGTATACTTAAGTGGTATGATTTATACATATAATTCAGCAGTCACTAGAAATTTTAGCACATGAAAATACTAGTAAGGTACATATTAGATGCATTATTTACATTAAATTATGCTATGCTCGCAATGAGAAATGATATGAAGTAATAACACCAATATAAAGAAACAAATAAGCTAAGTAGCATAGAATAATGTTTTATGCTGTACTAATACCCATATCAGATACAAATCAAATATTATTTGATAAAACTAAAAACTAAGTTTTTAAAATTTTAAAAGCTGAAATTTAAATGCAAGTGAAGTCTCCATCACTAAAATTTCTCCCCGTTTTAAGTAGTACTTGTATTTTTGAGTGGTATGTGATCGCGTTATCAATTGCACTTAATTGAAAATAATTTAAAATCAGTTACCTAATTGAGTTATTAAACAGCATGTAAGGCTTCTTGGATACTTCCAGTCGAGTGTTTAATAATGTTCTATGAGCATCTATAATTTTAATCTAACTTATTAATTCCTGTCATGTAGATATTACACATATTTGACATGCTATGGATATTGAGATTTGGTGTTCTAGTGTATTGTATAACTCTGACAAATAACATTATGAGAGTTTTAAATACACCGCAATTTCTCTAGAAGTGCGATATAGATAGGCTTTTTTCTTTATCAGGAAAAAATAATGATAAAGGCAACTTGTGTTGAATTTGCTTCCATGGAACAAAACCCTTTTGTGAATTTAAATATAATGGATCAGAAACTCAGCATATTTGAAAAATAAAAAAAAATGATATTTTTTCATATTATTTTTTCTCGTAAGTCATACCCCTAGTATCCTAACTTTTTTAGAATTTATTGTATATGTTTCCTAGTATTGTTTTTATCTGTATTTGGATTCATGCTTATGCTTCAAAACAAACAAGAACGTGAATATGAATGCTAATTGTGATTTTGACATTCATATGTGCAAATGAAAGTTGTTAGGACTAAGGTATTTTTGAGTTGAGCCTAATTATGTAGATACATAAATGAATACCCAAGTTTGTGTTACTCTGTTGGTCTATCTTGGAGTTGCATGATGAGTACGACTAATACACTCACTTTCAAGTTGAAACTGCATTCCAGAGTTTTCGAGATTGTAAATATTCTTTAGATAACCCCTCATATCTTTAGCATTGGGATAAGGCCGCAAATTGAGTACAAATATTAGAATCTACTGAGCTTAAAATCCAACTAATTAGGGACTTGAACCCTCCAATTTCATTTTCTGGTGGATAAAAAGTACCATTGGTATGTTTGAGGAGAGTAGGGTTGAAAGGCAAATAACAACCGCATGAGGAAGTGAAGACTATCTTCACTTCCTCTAAAGGCGTGTGAACAAAACAGATTAAAAACAATTTAAGGTGGTTGATTCAGGGTGAAGACAGTAGAAAAACAATGAAAATTTACCTAATTTTGACATTTGAAAGCTCTAAAATCTGGAGTTCTACTTTTTTACTGTTAAAATTGTGGTTGGGTTTAGGGATGGTGGTGAAAAGTAACAAAAATCTTGAAATTCTAATGGTTCTTTCTTATTGCTGAAGAAGTTTTTGATTTCATAAACTAGTATCAGGGTGATGATGGTAACTAGCATCATTTGATAAAAGCGGAAATTTGTCTCGTTACAGCGAAGCTTAGTAAGGTGGCAAGAGCAATTTCTGCACTAATAGATTGTATTGGATGCAGTAACGATACGGTGGAAGCAAATGAGGTCCTTAAAAATTGGGACGAGGAGGCTATGTGATGCATGACCGACCGACTGACTGCAGTTGCTTGTAGAGCCTTTTCTCTGCAACTCATATTGCATACTCTTGTAAAACAACAATTGTTTTTATGCTTGTGGCTTCCTAGGACATAGTATTAATCTTCCAGCTAGAATTTATTTTATCAGGTAATTTAAAAAATAAAATAACCTTGAACCTTAGCGGCCCCCCCCCCCCCCCCCCCCACAAAAAAAGAAAAGAAAAATAATAATAATAATAATAAAAAAAAAGAGTATGGAGACGCTAACTCAACTACAAAGCTGGTCGTAGTCTACGGAAATGCATGAATAATACATTCCACATTAAATGTTCAAGAACTGATAATCTTAATTTCACCATCATATTGTTTGTGCAATTATGAAGAATTTTAAGACTCATTATGAAATTCCATGCAAATACAATTGATATGAGTTACACGAAAAATCTTGGATTTTGGTGATTTAATGACGGGCGAATGTTTTTTTGGTCTTAATAATGTAATGTCAATTGTGTGGTGCCTTGATAAGTGAATAGTGACAAAAGCCCAGAATGCAGTCTGCCTAAAAAGATGCTAAATTGATAAAATTGTGTGGAATGGAAAAGGCTGCAACTTACTTGACTTTATGCTCTATTCCACAAATATAGGGATGTAATTATCATATATCATGCTTTAGACTGTATGATTTTATTTTGTATTGAACATTGAAAGTGGAAGATTGAGTCTCATCACATATAAATAATCCACATTGTCATGTGCACTCTTAGTTTTTCTGTATTTCCTATTTTACAGTCGAAACTTCATAAGAATCAGTACTTGGAAATCATCAATCAGAAGGCAGAAACTTTCCTAATCATAACACTATCTTCTTTGTTTAGGAGTTAGGATCATTTTTATTTATTTATTTATTTATTTTTTATCATGGTTCTTATAAATGGAATTTTTTTTAGGTTTACTATATCATGCTATTTTGTGATTTAATCCGTCTTTGTGAACCTTAAAATGGGTGCTGATATTGCAGTTAACTGACCAGAAAGGAAAGAATGCATCTCAATCAATTCCGACAAAAAAACGGAGGGACCATGGGGACAAGGACCAAGGTAATAACCAAGATGGATGTGCTGACAGCTTCTCAATTTTCTCCTCAAGGGCGTTGCCATCAGAAAAAGACAGAGAAGAGTTGACTGCATTGAGGGAACAAGTAGAGGATCTACAAAGGAAATTATCTGAGAAAGATGAACTCCTGAAATCTGCAGAGATTTCAAAGAACCAGATGACTTCAGTGCATGCAAAACTTGATGAACTTAAACACCAGGCTGCAGAAAAGGATTCTTTAATCAAGTCTATTCAGCTACAACTCTCGGATGCAAAGGCATGTGTCTAATGCTTGCGTACGTTTTTGATTTCTTATTTGTTCAATTTCTCAAAATTTAAGCCACCTTTGTCAGTGTCCTATGTTAGTCTATTTGTTGGATTGCAGTACACTTTTGCTTTTTGTGTTCTTGGAGGTTTACAAAAATAATGCAGTGAATTCTTATCATTTATTTTATTTTGTTTTTTCGGTTACTGGAGTTTCAGTGGGGTAAATTATTATTTGATCGCATGATTCTGATAAACTAATAATTCAAGAATAATGATTTTTAAACTGAACAAAACTGCCGAAATTGGGAGTCGAACATATGGCATCCAATCCCCAGTTCGGCTGTTTCTTTCTATGAGTATGTCATGTTCATTATTCAAACCTCTTCCATATGCACTAATTTTGTCTTGAATTAGCTATCAACTCATCTCTACTATGGGGTCACTTTCATTAGAATATATAGTCCCCAGAAGAGGTTACCATAGGCGTATAGATAGATAGAGAGGGAAATATATAGTTGGTTATTTATTTTCTTGCTTTGTGACGGTAGTTTTCTTCATACTAAAGTGTACCATCACATTGCTGTGGTTATGAAATTCATGTTGTGAGCATGAACAGTTCCCTTCAAGGCATGAATAAACATTTTTTTTTTTTTCACTAAAATATATATGGCTTTTATTTATTTATTTATTTGGTTGGTAAACACACCCAACTAACACACATACACAGCCATTATTGCCCCCAATGGGGTTTGAGCCATCAAAGCCTCAACCCTCCATTTATTTGGAAGGGAGGAGATACGACTTTAGCTAAAGGTTTGTTGGATTAAACTTTCCTATACGAATGTGAGTATTTTATAGATAATTAAAATAACTAACAAATGAAGAAATCTATTTAGAAAAATTAAAAAATTACTTCATGTTCCAAGCTATCAAGTAACTTTGCATACAAAGTTTTTGGCATATCCAGAAACAAAGGATGCTTAATGTAATCCTTCCTACCATCTAATAACTCTGGCTTGGAAAGCAGGAAAGGAGTCTTGCTAAAATTGAATAGGATTAAAACTTCTCATCTTCTACAGCCGTGCTTCAAAATTGGCCTTCATATGATTATCTCTGCCCACATCTCCCTCCCCCTCCTCTCCTCCTCTTCTTCTTTCTTGCACATCTTTTCTATTTTTAACAGGGAATATCTCACATCAATGTTATTGGCATCCCTTTTCTTTTCCACAGATTAAGCTTGCTGACAAACAAGCTGCCCTAGAAAAGATACAGTGGGAAGCAATGACCTCCAATGGAAAGGTGGAGAAGCTCCAGGAAGATTTAGATTCCATGAAAGGAGATATTTCATCATTTATGCTGTTATTCGAAGGGTTGACGAAGAATGATTCCACTGTATCTTCTGAAGATTATGATGTCACACCTTATCATTTAGATTATCTCCCTCAGATAGTAAGCTCAATACCCTCCCCACCAGCTTTGGTAATTCATAGAAGATAATTGAGTATCAGTTCTTCGTGTCAAATAGTTATCTTCACCATACTAAATACACATTTATGTAATACTACTATATTTAATTGCTTAAGTTTCTATTACACTTATTTCTTTTCCTTTTCAGGTAAATTACATTTCTTGGAATTTATTTAAACACAAATTCATGCACACTAACATATATCTAAGTATACAAGTAATTAAGCCAGTTGGTCATTGGAAGGTCTTTACAGAAATGGATGTAGGTCCACTGATTCACGTAACTTCTTTTGTTTGTTCCTGTTTGATTTGCAAATTGAAAGATCTAAGTTGGTTTAAGCAGGACGATTTGGATGAGTTGGAGATGCAGGAAATGGAGAAGGCAAGAGAAGCTTATATTGCTGCTGTTGCTGCAGCAAAAGAAAAGCAAGACGAAGATTCTATTGCTGTTGCTGCCAGTGCAAGGTTACATCTTCAATCATTTGTTTTCAGAAGCAAATAGTACAAGCCCCAGCAATGGAAGTCCCAATTGTGGGATTCCAAGTGCTCCTGGTGAAGCCAGTTGTCCACTAGCTCCTTGAGGTAATATGTAGCAGATTGCCATTGTGATAGTACCCGTTTGTTTTTGTCGATAAGTATCTCATTATTCACTGAACATTGAACCCTTTTGTTCTGTTCTATTCTTGTGCTTTCAAATGTTTAATGTGACAACTGTTTGGAGTGGTGCTCATATTTGGGGGTTCATTTCATTTACTAAAACTGGTTAAGCGAGATGGGTGGCAATTTGTATTAGTAAAGCATCTTTTTTCATGGGATGCATCTTGTTATTTTAGTAGAAGAACTATCTTTCTGTTCCTCGATGGACACGATTGCTATATTGGGACTGTTCATTTTGTTTTGCAAACTTTGTTGTTGAAATGAATCCAATCATTGATAAACTGTTATATTTCTTTTTCCCTTTTACTCTTATTCACTCCATAAAACTAGCAAAGAATATGAAATGTATTGTCCCGAGAGCAAAAGTTTCAAGTTTTAGAGACATATTACTTCCCAGTTTGCCACTTTTCAAGCTTCTTGGTGAAAAGCCTTTGGCAGGTCTTGACAATCTTGGACTCTGCCTTTTGGTAAGGGTTTAGAAATAATTTTGTAAATGGCACTATAGCCTCAGATTTTCTTGGCTTGGGAATTGGAATAATTTGTCTTACTAATTTCCTTTAGAATGTAGCCTGATTTATTGAAGTGTAGGGCAGCTTTTGTAATTGCAGTACCAACAATATTCCAATTTAGTTAGTAAATTGGAACAGGGAGACCTACAAAAACCTATAAAACTACTACATCAGATATTTTCGAGTAGATATTTGGTGAGCTGGGCATACTAGGTCATCGGCATGCCCACCCAATTTTAATTTTGTTGAGAGCAATTATTTTATGTAAGTGGGACCAATTTCAATGAATGGAGCATGTTGGTTGGGTGCTCATGCCAATGACCTGGTATTGCTCACCCAATATTTCTCCCACTGTTGCTTTTTGCTTAACCATTTGGGTGTGAATTATACTTTATGTCGAGGGGAGATTTTGGAAATCTCGAATTGCAATGTCAATATTCCAGTGTCTTTTATATGTACTATTGGTTTTTGAGAACGAAATTATAATGGGACTTTTGGTTTCAGATTGCATTGTCCGTCACAAGCTCTAAGTCAGTCAGGCTCTGCAATGCTTGCCTGTTTGCGAATATGATGGTTTATTTTAAGCTCGACTGGATTTTAAAGGCTTAGTCTGTTATATCAATATCACATAGCGCTATCAACTAGAAATAAGCCAAGTATAGAAAATGATTAACAGAGCTGGTTTTTTGGTATCACAAAGTTGGATAAATCATCTAGAATTATATTGCCATTATTGGTACCGTGAAAGATCAACATGGGTACAACATATTCAATCCGTTCTAGTGGGAAAAAACTGAGAGAGAGAGAGAGCTTCAGCTTTCAGAATCTACAACATTGAAGACGTACACTCCGATGCTTGTGCTTCCTGTAATGCAGGCCTTTTGATTTTGGCATATGTGTAGGACTGCCCATCCACTCCCACCGTAATCTGCATATTACAACTTTAGCAATTTCATAACTGCAAATGAATTGAGCTGGCTCGATCTCATGTTATGAACTTTCCATGAAGTCGAGTTAAATTTGAACTGTATTCAATAAACGGGCTGAGTCTGAACAGTGTTGACACGAGTTTAGATTATATTTTAGACTTACACTGGGAATGCAAAAGAACTTGTGCTACCATCTGATTGAGTAGAGTTGCTCGACTCCACAGACACTGTTTTATATTCTTTGTTCTCCTCGCTGTAGTTTTCATCTCTCATCCCTTCCCAAGCCAATTCGCTGTCCAAGTAGATGATCCCCTTTCCCTTACCCTTCAAGAGTACAGTTACTTGTTTCTTCAGACGATATATAAGTATTATATATATATATATAGAGAGAGAGAGAGAGAGAGAGAGATGGTTAACCTTTGCAGGAGAGATGATAGTGTCGCCCTCATTTATTGTGTAAATATCTTTTACATCTTCATCTGACATATCTTCATGGCCAGAGTGACAAACTTCCTCTGCAATCTCACCATACATAGGCTGCTTCTTTCCAAAACCAAACAATAAAGACAAGTTCAAATTTAACAGCATTCAACTAGTATGTTTGCCATCTGAAACCGAGAATGGAAACAGCTCGATGCTCACCTTCCGATTCACAGGCCTTGAACTTCTGTTTGCAGCACGGTCAAGGTGATCCGATGACTCCGACTTTCCATCCTTCACCACATGAATCACTCCATCCTCTTTAAAGCAGAACACAATGTAATCCTCATCTGTAAATTTAGGCCAGCACGAGTCATCAGTCCCCTTTTCGGAACCTGAGCTGGTACATTGTGTTGAACTTCGGACCAATTCTCTCTCTTGCTTGTACCTGTTTGTTTCACGGCTTCTTCTGTCACCCATTGAGTTAGAAACTATGGTTCCACCACGCATTTGACGTGATGAAGAGCTACATATATCTGGTTCGTCATCTGAAACAACACCTAAACTCAATTTCAATCATGGAAAGAAATTAGTATTAGCTCAACCAAATAGTGTGATTGATTTGAAAGCTAATGGAAGTAAAAAAATGTAGTCTAAGCATGTAATATTATTGTTGAAGGTCATTTTCAGAGTTTGGTTACCTAATGGAAACCTGCATGGGAAGAAACACGTAGCCCAATCCCTTATCCGCCATCTCACTAGCTTCGTCATCGTCCATGGGCTGCACATTGCTGTGTAACAGTAGAGAGAGAGAGAGAGAGAGAGAGAGAGAGAGAGAGAGAGAGAGAGAGCACCTGAAAGGCAACAGAAAAGAAAGTAGGTGTTTTTAAAGGGGAGAGAGACGATTTGAATTTGAAAAAAGGAGTGAGTGGGAAGAAGAAGGGAGTTACAACATACAGTGTTTTATTAATAATGACGAATGGGTCGGTTATAATTCATCTACATGGTGCATGTGGTGGGAGAGAGAAAAGTATGCGAGATATACACGGCAACTGTCCCTAATAACTTTCTTTTTTAGCCTTTATTACTAACAAATTCAATTTTACAATTCATACTAAACAGTAATTTAAATAAGAACTATAGTAAACTGAATTTACTGATCCTAGAATCACAGTGAGAGTCAAAACATGTGCTTTAACACCAATGGCTAAAACTGATGCAAAGAAAAGATTAGGCCAACTTACAGACTGCAATTATACATATATGTTTTTTAAGCTATATTAGGGAGTTGCTTTTCTGTCTGTCTACACTTGATCATATAAATATGCAACTAAATTGAAGTCAAACCACAAAAAATGTAATGGGTGAAGAAGCTAAATTAGCCATGGAATGGGCAGTATGCAGACTTTTGTATAGATATGAATAATTTCTTTACAACTGGAAAATACAAAAAAGACACTAAAATAGAGCAAATTTGACAAAACAATCAGTCGCGAGTAACTCCTTGCCGGAAAATCATATCTTTCTTGGTTTCAGACCTAATATGTTGGTATCACCGTCAACATACACCAATGACGAAACTGAACTGAACCACTGGAATAAAATCCAACAGCAAGCATCAGCAGAAGTCACCAGGCTTGCCAATTTTTATGTCTTGCTCTGCTAAGAACCCCATGATAGCAGTTTTTTGCCAGCCTTTGAAACTCCTGCATCCATCAGTAAATATTAGCTCTACCATAGCGACAAACAAGTTGGGTAAAGAAACATACAACTTCCCAACTACATAAATCATGCTCGTAGAAATAAATTCAAACATTCTACTGGGCTTTGGAATAATCCCATGTAGCCATTGGTTCAACAGGGTTGAATTGTTTGCATAATCAGGTGTAGATTCTTAGATTCAAATAATACAGTACCGGGAATTTTTCAGAGAAAATAAAATGATTCAAGGCATTTGGTCAGATGAAGCATACCAGTAATGCTAAAAGAGACATTACTGTTATTTTCGACTGACATGACACTAAAAAAATATTGGTATAATAACAGACAAATGAGGCATATTTTTTAACGTTGACGCGCGAGATGGAAGGCATAATTTTTTTGCTGCTACATGATCCCAAGAGTGTTTCAGAGACCAACTTAGAAGAGAAGTCTGAAATATGGCTAAAGGAAACTCTAAATCACCATTCTTAACAGCACAGGAAAATCAAAACTTCATCTGTTACAGAAGCTATGGTTCTGGTTTGCACTAGTTTCCTCTAAAATGCCAGTTTTCAGGGAAGAAGCTTATGGCATACCATTCATCCTCTGTGATACAATTACTGTATAATTGTATCCCACATTTGACTCATCTATAATAAAATTACTGTTGCAATGCTTCTCAAAGCAATTGTTTATCGCTAAGGGATGCATCAGAAGTAACAACGGGTGATTGCTCTCAAAAGAATTGGACAAAGGTTAGAATTGTAATAGAACCTTGCCCGTGTACAAGGGAGATGCAATTGTTATACTTCAGTTCATTTATGAGTCAATCTTACAGATTTGCAAATGTTCTCTGAACTTCATCTTTTTCGAAAAATGGAGCTCCAATTTCTCCAGTATTCTGAACTACACGAGGCATCTGGTTGATTATTATCAGAATGAAGGAGACAAGCTTTCTTTCTTCTTCAACCAACCGGGGATCATTTTGCTTACTCATAATAGAGATCATTAGCTAAAAAAGCAAGTATCAAAACTGACCATTTTAATGACTTAATTGATGTTTAATCTCACTTAGTTATTTTCCCCAGAGGTGAGTGAGGAATAAAACATGATGCCACTTCCGTGCATGCATGTAATTGTCAAAGTTTTTGTTTTTTGTATTTGCGAAAATCCTTTTCAGCTTTTGAGGATTTCCTCAATTGATTTATCAACAAATTACATATTTGCATTTATGCTATGCCTGATTTATGTTCTTATGTAAACTTGGCAGCAATTAAATAGAGGATTGAGGAAAGCTTGACTTTGCAAAATAAATTAAGTATCAACTCTTTCAAAGGAATGCCTAACTTGTGATCAAGATGAGCTAAAACTTCTCCCCCTGGAAAAGCTGCTTTAGTAGTCTCAAATGCAACTTTAATTGATTTTCTCCAAGTCCCACCGATACCCTCAGCATTTGCCTGTGCTTTGGACTGACCATGATCTTCCATTGGCAAGGCATACCCAGATAGCAAGTGGCCCACCCAAACACCATCTTTCCTGAAAAAGGGAATTCGTTATGGAACTCTATAAACACACAAGGAACACCAAAACTTTGGCACTGAAGTCCCTTTCAGAACACCCAAAAGGACCAGGCCATTATTCATGCATTCTGAAATTAAAGAGGAGTGTAGCTTGTACAGAAGGCTCAGGTTGTTGTTTTGCAATAATTCCAGAGACGCAGAAACTATTTTAGAACATTGACTTCAAATGGTAACAAATATAGTTATAAATGTTCCTTTTCGCTCTGAATGTAGCTGGTGGAAAAATGGTTAATAACTTGTACTAGAACTAAAGTCCATTTAACCAGTATATGGCCCGCCAATGCAGAGTGGCTGGGAGGGAAAGATTGGAAACAGACCCGACTTGTGGAAAGAATATTACAATATCCCTAGATCATTTCAGATTGAATCAGAGTTTGAGTGCCAATAAATGGACTTAAGTCAGTTTGTTAATTAGATCATCAACTGATGTGTGATGTTTAAGTTTCAAAACTACTCCTAGTGAGACAATCGAATCTGAACAGATACCAGTACAAGGGCAAGACTAAAGAAAAACAACTAGAAGCAGAGTTCTGCCTCATTATAATCTTAATCTTGACTCTCTCTTTTTTGGCATTCGACAAAAGAAATGCCTTAAAGAATCAGCCCAATGTCGTGCCTTTTGATTTATTGGAAACTATTGACTGTTTCTAGTCAAAACATTGATCTCATCAAATTTGTTCTATTATGCCCTTGAAATCGTTGATTACTAAACAGAAATTTGATAAAACACTTGGAAGCTATTAATAGCAGGAACTTACAGAACAATGTCCATATGCCGGGGTACATAATGTCCACCACCAACTCCTACAAGTATTTTGTTTTGACCATTATTCCTGCATCATTAAAAATACATATAAAGGGGAGAAAAACTGTAGCACAAGAAGAAAAAAAAAAGAAAAAAAAAAAAAAAGAAGTGCATTTCTGAAGAAAATTAAAAGTAACCGTTGTACGTACAGCTTCATTAGTGGGGAAAAATAGGGCATGCTGCATCATCTTATGGCTTTCATTTCAGAATTCATAATTATTATAATAACACCTTTTAGGGGATATTAAGAAAACTTTTTGGATATAGAAATGAAAAGGCAACACAAAAAGATGGATCTTATGACAACTAGACAAGAAGACACAACCAAGAGAACGGGGTACTAATTTTGAGAATCACAAAATCCATGTCCGACAAATGGGAGCCTTGCAGTATCCGTAATTTAAGGCGAACAACTTTATCAGTAGATTAAACAAGTTTTATTTTGTTACAAATTCATAAATCTGCTTTTCACATTATCCTGTTTCACTAGAATAACTTAAAAACTAAAATTCACGAGCAAACACATTATATTGACCATACCTGTTCCAGTCACCTACTGAAACTCCTCCTCCAAGCCCCAATCCTTCCCAGACTAACTTCAATCACCACGACAAAAACTTTGTAAAATAAAATATCAAATAAAACTCGTCTGTTACATAAAAGCTGAGCTATATCAACCATGCATTGTCTTTGGTCAGCAAGGAAATAAAACATATAATTTTACCCAACTCAACCCTCCCTAAAAAGCCATTTGATGCTTCCTAGGAGAATGGGAAAAATGGAAAAAGAAAGTACACGGATAGAGGTAAGACTATAAAAGAAAACAGTTGCAAAATAAATCCACGTAAAAAAGATACCCAACTAAAGCAATGGCTTGTGCTGCATCCTGCCTCCTCCAGTACTCTTCTGTACTTCCTGGAAGACATTATCAAAAAAATTCAAGCAGTACCTAAGCGTAATTAACTTTCAATTTTTTTTTTTTCCTGAATACTTTTTGTTTTTCCCCTCAAAAGATGATACGTCATAGATAATCAATTACAGCGCCAAAAGAGTACAATAAAAATTGTAATAAATATATTCAACAAATTGTGAATTTTTATTATTGATAAAGCTGTCATGATCGGTGAATAGAAGTATACCAATTTCTACAAACATGGTGGGCGAATTAATTTCAGGTCCATGATGAGTAGCCTCCAATGTGACCTACACCGAGAAATGAAATAGGAAAGAACTCACTTTATGTGTTTACCTCCACAATAAAGTAAACTGAAAATAAAAATAAAATGGTAAAAAAAAGTGAGAGTCATACAAGATGAAGAGAAGATACATTTTAGGTCGTTTTATAACTGAAAATTATAATTCCATCGATAGGGAAAATAGTTTAATGGGATAGGACTCAACTTAAAATGGCTTAACCTAAACTACTTGTGATAGGCTAAATGGGACCATTTTCGCTAGAAGTCTCTTTACAAAGATAAATATGCTTACTCCCATTCAACCTAAAATCTTTAGATTCTAAAGTATCTTTTCATAGTTCTAACTTGGAGCAATCGCTCTAGCTTTGTCAATTGAAACTATGTCATTACTCATCTAGGAACAAGATAGCAAGACGATTTTATGTTTACAACTAAAAAGATGAAGACGGAAACCTAATTCATAGGTACTAAAAATTGTTTTTTCAGAATAAACAAATACCACAGGGACTCAACTTGACTTGCATCATATACTAACTAGGGATACACTGAAACAAGATTCTAGACAAAGGGATCTGCTTGGTGTCTTGGTGATATTTGTTACCCATTAAAGCGCCACCATATACTAATTGTTTCAATTGGAATTTTGACCTGACCTCTTTACTCTCAGAAAGAATATGGTTTTATAATAAGTAAATGGCAAAAAGATCTGAGGTTTTTGCAGAACATGGTGTTTCTATATGCTCCAATATCTTTGAACTGGGTATTGAATAGCCAATATTCAACATAAGTTCTCCCAGATTTGCTTTGCAAATGAGCAGGTGCTTTCAATGACTGGCAAACACAATAACACAAAACCTTCCTTTTTTTTTTGGGAAGGGCTAGTTACCAGGAAGAATGCGTCTCACGCTTGCAAATGTACAAGGCTAAATTGAAAACTTAATGCCATGACAAGAAAATAATGATTCCAAACAACCAGGGCTGGACAAGAAGCAGTGAGCCAGAACTCTGCTGACCCCACCACTGAAATGTGTACGGGCCTGGGCTGGTAGGCACAAAGTTGCAACCCCTGATTAGAGGATACCATCAAATTCCTGGAGTTAATTTCAAGATGGGTTGATAACTACCATTTACAGCATAAGAATCAGGCCAATACTGAATATGATGGCTTTAGAGAAGATTATCTCAACAAAATATTATGGCAGCATAAGTGAACTAAATATGTGTTTTTAACTGTTCCATCAACAACAAATCTTGATCAAGGTATAGGAAGTACACTATTCAACAGTAAGACGACAGATATTTTGCAGAGAAAAATGTTGAGCTACCATGCAACGAGTCAAATGACATAATTGAGATATTGAGATGGATAACTCCAAACCTTTTAGATTGAATTTTTCTAGGTTTTGGAAGCTTTCTCCATCATTTTAAATTATCCTAAGCTATCTGTTAGTCTATGTGATATCTGTTGACATCCTGCTAATGGAGTGGTGTATGGACTTTTGGTGCTGTGTACTATTTATCAAAAAGTAAAATTATTTCCTCTGATCCAAGCAGCGTAGTGGATCTGACTTTAATATAATATATCTTTTGAAACATACCTTCAAAAAATCAAGATTTAGCAAAATCTAGCCAGAGGAACTGGTGTAAATGTTGGATACAGTTATCTACACTACTTTACATGCAAATATTCTAATACATCCACCGAGAATTAATATATAAAATACAAATAATATCAAATACGTGAGATGGAATCAGGTAAAGTTGAAATCAAGTAGGCCAAATGGCCTATGCATCCTGAAATTCAATAAGAGGTGCATCAAACAGAGTTAATATAATGTAACATGTTACCTCAAATTCAGGAGTTAAATTATGTGATTCAGCAATGGTTTTCAAGAGCCTCAACCAAGGCCCTATCCGAGGATTTGGGGGCGCTGCCCACCCGGGTTTACCACCTGCAGGTGGCACCTCCCCTTCACGCAAATGAGGCACACCTACACAATTTTTCATTCACAACAAACACTGCAACATTTCAAGACTTCTACTACACATAAATTAGATCAAACAATGCACTCCAAAACTACTAATCCAAGCAAAACCGAATAAGAAAACAGAGCATATCTAAGCAAAATTGTACCAATTGGGTGAACGGTGAGCGCAGGACGGTTCGACACTGCGGTGTGCTTGCTCAGAAATATGACCTCATCGACAACTTCTCCAGTCACCGCCTCCCAACGCTTATCCAAGTGGTCCTCCTTAACAATACTGTTATCGTGTTTCAATAATCTAACTTCTTTATTGACAAAACTCGGTATACCCTATACCAATTAACAATTTTTAGTCCTGAATCAGAACCATAATCACCATAACCCACAATTTTCATATCATTTTACATAGAAATAAAGTCAATTCATTGAATTTGGCAAGGGTGAGCGTACTGCGCCGCGAACAGCGCAAGATAATGGTGGAAGGGGATATTGTGGAGAAGTGCGTGTGAGTGAATGGAAGTAGAGAGGAGGGAGGTGGGGGATGAGAACTAACCTGCACGAGGGGGCCAGGGTGCCAACCGGGCATGGCTAAGAGGGCGGAGGCTGGGCCGATGGAGGCCGGGTCGGTGGTGGTGGCCACCACCAGCGTCACCATGTCTCGGCTGCTCTTGCTAAAATACGCCCTGCAAAGGCTGGTTCTTGATACGTAAGAGCCGCGGGTTATGGCTAATCTTGCAATTAGGTGGCAAGTAGCAAAAATCATTCTTCAAGAATTTTTCACAAAAGTTATACTGTATCAGTATATTGTATTATCGGTATATGGTTATGTGAGGTAAAAATATACATCTATCTAATTTAATGAATTTTCTATAAATAAATATTAAATTGAATGTAATGATATAAAAGGTAAGTCAAAAATTACATTCCTTGGAAATATTATGTCACGATATTTAAAATTAAGTCTTCTAGTTTTCAAAGGCAGTGTAAAATATCATTCATTTCAAGATATTATGTGATAAAACAAAAAAAGAAAAGAAAAAAAAGAGAGTATTATGTCATGATATTAATTAATTATTATTATAATTATTTTTCAGCCAACTACAAATCTGTTCAAATCCCTTTTCCAAGGGAAGGTATTGTGCAGGTTTAGTTCCCAACTTGCATGCAAGGTGCCAAAGAGAAACAAATGCATCCTTTGAGTCCCTGCATATGTAAAGAATTTTTCAGAAGTCAAGGCCTTAAATTTGTGGGTTGAGCCTTTTAGTGTTTTGAGCTGATCACATGATTACTTCTACCAACAAGGGTGGGTGCCAAAAAGCCTTGGTACTGGTAGAGAGAACTAGAGGCTGTCCACCCATTTTCTCGAGTAAGGGTTGATATTTATGTCACTGTATTTCACTTTGGGTTTTTTGGGTGCTTTTCTTTTTCCTCACATCTTGTAGCAATATGACTCATTTTAGGGCTCCTTTTCATGTAAAAAGGTAATCACTGCCTTCCAAAAAAACAGAAAAAAGAAAAAATATAAAAGAACCCCATTTGCTACAATAATAGTACAAGAAGAGCATTTACAACTGGCACATTATTAAAACTAAAATACATATCCAAGATCACATTATCAGGTAGTACTATAGCTAGGGCAAGCCTTGCCGCAAACAAATAACACTCATTATTTTGGTAAAACAGCAAAGTTCAATCCAGAACCATTGAACTTAAACTAAAACACATATCCAGTAGCACATTATTTAGATCGATACTAGGCAAGCCCAGCCATTACACAAAAGTTCAATCCAGAACCATTGAACTTTAACTTAAAAAAACATATCCAAGATCATAAGCAATTAACAGTTACTATTTTGGGGATTGACCCCAAAGTTCAATCCAGAACCATTGAACTTTTGCTCTGTGATAAGATCTATCTTCTCTTTCATTTCATCGGTAAAATAATTCTGCCAATCTCCAACCTTACCTTTCCTGAAGAACTCGCTGTTATGAACCACAAGTTCATCACTCAAACGTAGCACACCCGTCTTGTTCACCTCCAAATTGCTCAAATTCTCAAAACTACATAGCTTGAGTATTTCTTGCACCACCCCTTCTCTCTCCTCCTCCAACGAGAAAGGTTGCCCCATGAATTCAGCCAACTTCTTAAGGTAAATGGAGGGCTCTTTCTTCAAATCCTCATACCTAAGGAACATAAACTTTTCGGGCGATTCAAGGCTTGCTTTCCAATACTCCAACACGTGATCCCAAAAGGGTCCATAGTGTGAGACCCCCTCACAAAACATGTCAAATGCTTCTTTTAGTGGAAGGGGTGGCACTCCTTTTTGTTTGATTCTTTCCATGAAGTGCCACAGAGAAATAAACACATCTTTCGGATCACGCCATATGTAAACAATCTTGCAGCTAGAAGATGTCGTCACACTTTGAGGTAAAAAAGTGTATGGAATGTGAGTGGCAAAGAGCCGAGGCGAAGGAAGAGCGTCAAGGTCTGTATTTATGGGATAGTTTTGATAGATAGATGCATCTAAGAAGGGAAAACAGGCATGAGGGCCAGTGTTAAGCAAAGGGTGGGACTGGGAGGAGAAGTCATAACTGGAGCGGTTCATGGTGGCGAACATAAGGGTTCGGAGCCATGTGGTGCCACATTTCATGTAAGCAGACAGGAAGATATCGGTGGGTTGAGCCTTGAAGTGGTGTTGCACCAAGAAGGCTCCCTTTAGGGCAGACTTGGGGCTGAACCAGTAGCCTTGGTACTGGACTAGATGTTCAGACATCCAGCCTCTCTCTTTGGGAAGGGTTTGGAGTGCCTCATTGTACTTTTGGTATGTTGCTTCATAGTCTTTTTCTCTGTCTTCTTTTTCATTGTTGGTCTTGGGAATATGGATTTGCTGAGAAGAAAGGGTTGCCATTGGACAAGATGTCAAGAACTAAAGAGAATGCTTGTGCTTTGTAGTAGGTAAGGACACCTTTAAATCTATGGCAGATTTGAGAAAGTTGATTTGTTCATTTGGGTGCTTTTTTACTCTCAGCTGTCCTATTTGTAATTATTCTTGCTGAAAATTGATATTTGAGGTGTTAAGTTAGACCAAAAATACTAAGTAGAAAGCTTATTTATTCCTTAGATATGTTTTAAGTGGGATCTACTCACTTGAAACATACGTAAGGGATTAAAGCTTCTGTACTAGTGCTGTAGATTTGAATCATCAACTAGTGAACTACGAGCAGCATTGTTTACTCTGCTGGCTCACATGTGTATACACAAATTTTATAAGTCTGCAATAGAAATAAAATATGGAGTAAATAATAATTTATTAATTTTTAAAAATAGAGTACAATCCTCTGTAATAATATTCTTTACAAAAAGAATGGTCCTCTGATTAGATCTCATTTTTGTTGTTGGTTGGATCCAAGGGCTGCACGAGCTTGTTCTTGAATCACTGTGGAATTTGATGAAGAACGACACGTCCTGGGATGTGCTTGATGTTTTTCGCTTTTGAGTTTGGATTCTGAATTTGTGTCTCTGACTTCTGAGTCTCTGAATTTCTGAATCTCTAGATTTCTGGACTTCTGAATTCTGAATTTGTGTCTGAATTTCTAAACTTCTAAATTCTGAATTTGTGTCATTTGTTGAATTTGAGGAAGAACGGCACATCTTTGGATGTACTTGTTGTTCTTCGTCTTCAGAGAGAAGAGAATTTGTTGAATTTGGTGAATAACGGCACGACTTTGGATGTGCTTGGTGTTCTTCGCCTTCAGGTTTGCACTCAGGATTTCTGGCCCTCTGGATTTCTGAGTCTCTTAATTTCTGGACTCTGAATTTTTGTCCCCCTTCTCCATTCCTCCAGGCCTTTATTTATAGGTTTCTTAGATCTATAGGATGATGACACGTGTCCTTTCTGATAAAGAAAATATCATAACTGGGCCTGGCCGGTTATATTATGATAATTATCCTTAAAAATAATTATTCCAAATATATTTTATTAGAAATAATTATCTTTCCATTTAATCATCTGCGCTGGGCTAATTAAATAATATAAGTGGACCAGACTTGGTCCAATTAAATAACTTTATTAAACATTAGGCCCATATTTAATGGGCCCATTTGTCCAAATCAAAGTCCACTAAAATTTTAGTGTCTACAAATTGCCCCCACTTCGAGTCCCACACTTAACAGGACTTGTCTCCTTTTTCAAGTAGGACTTGAAGTATCTAACTTTCCTCCTTTCAAGTCATAGGGTTTGACATCAATTTCAATCGGCTCTGAAGGAGTTGTAAGATTACAGCCTTTGAAAATTGTGTTGGATTACGGCATCTGCTAGACAAATAATTGGTATAACAGTTTTTTTTTTTTTTTTTTTTTTTTTCCACGCTTGCTAGAAGAGAAATTTTACGCAAAATTTTTTCACGCTTTTTTTTTTCTTCTGTTTTTTTTCTTTCCTTTTTCTCTCTCTTTTTTTTCTTTCCCACGCAAAAAATTTTTCACGCTTTTTTTTCCTTTCATTTTTCTCTTTTTTTCTTTTCCACGCAATTTTTTTTCCTTCTTTTTTTTTTTTCTTTTTTTTTTTTTCCAAGATTTTTTTCCCTTCTTTTTCTTTCACGTTTTTTTTTTTTTTTTTTTTTTTTTTTTTTTTTTTTTTTTTTTTTTTTGCTTCCTTTTTTTTCTCACACTTTTTTTTTTTTTTTTCACGCATTTTTTTCTTTCCTAAAATGCAGTTGGGTCGAACAGATTGAAGCTTCGTCGGACTTGTTTTATCTCTGAAAATCGCTAGAGCTTCTCGCCAGATTTTTTCGCCGAAACTGAGTTGCCTAAACGGAGCCCGCTGGATCATTTGGGCTTGTTAATGGTGGTTAATCTATTCTGAACTGAAGCTCACCAGGGTTCATGGTGTCTATACTTCTGGGTTTCGCCGGTCCTCGTTGATGGAGTTCTTCAGTGCTGCCACTGCACACTACCCCGATGTGAACTTTTTTTTTTTTAATGTAGGACTTCCTAAGAATCAGTTTTCCTGTTACGAATCCAAAAACGACATAGAAGTTGTTCCATGCAGTCAACGCCGACTCCAACTTACTTCTCGGTCGCAATGCCATTCATATGCTTGATCCTGACAATGAATATTGTCCTTCTCTTTGGACACGCATCTAGTCCGTAAGGACCCATTGTTCCTTCGGAACGCATTTAGTCCGTAAGGACCCATTGTTCCTTCGGAATGCAACTAGTCCGTATGGACCCATTGTTCCTTCGGATCACATCTAGTCCGTAAGGACCCATTGTTCCATCGGAACGGAACTAGTCCGTAAGGACCCATTGTTCCTTCGGAATGCAACTAGTCCGTATGGACCCATTGTTCCTTCGGATCACATCTAGTCCGTAAGGACCCATTGTTCCATCGGAACGGAACTAGTCCGTAAGGACCCATTGTTCCTTCGGAACGCAACTAGTCCGTAAGGACCCATTGTTCCTTCGGAACGTATCTAGTCCGTGTGGACCCATTGTTCCTTCGGAACGCATCTAGTCCATGTGGACCCATTGTTCCTTCGGAACGCAACTAGTCCGTGTGGACCCATTGTTCCTTCGGAACGCATTTAGTCCGTAAGGACCCATTGTTCCTTCGGAGCGCAACTAGTCCGTATAGACCCATTATTCCTTCGGAACGCATCTAGTCCGTAAGGACCCATTGTTCCTTCAGAACGCAACTAGTCCGTATGGACCCATTGTTCCTTCATTGTTCCTTCGGAATGCAACTAGTCCGTATGGACCCATTTTTCCTTCGGAACGCATCTAGTCCGTCAGGACCCATTGTTCATTCGGAACCAAAATCTTTTATGCATGCCAATCCACTCTTCTTCTTTTTTTTTTTTCTTTTTTTTCAGGGGGTGCTAGTCAACCATGGTGTTTTTCAAGAATTTCAAACCCCATACTATCACCGTTTTAGAGGAGAACAGACTCTGACAGGTCATGCCACCAGCATAGACAGTGTCGTCAGCAGCCATGAATCAGCCCAGAGAGCAACGATAGATGTAGATGGAGAGAGGTTTTACTACTAGCTCGGACAACTTTGTCAACACCCGCTGCCAGAGCATCTTCATCAGCCATGGATCATCCAGCAGCCATTGATAGAGCGAGACCATACTCCGAGAGGTCACGCCACCAGCATTGTTAGCCATCGCCAGATTTGATGATGATTTCAAGCCGAAGCTCCACCAAAAGATCTGACTTAACCAGTAGCCACTTGACATGAAGTTACCGAGTTAAACAAGTGTGCTTGTGCATATTTGTCTCGAAGATAGAGATCTGCTGCAGATACTGTAAGGATGTGACAGACAAAGCTTGCATGCCTATGCCTCCGTGTGGTGATTTGTTTTTACTTCAGCAATATTTTGGCGACACCGTGAATTATTTCTTCAATGACACCTCAACGGAAAGCCAAATTTCTCTTTCAGCAACACCTCGACAGCGAGCAAATATTTTTTTAGCAATACTTCGATGGAAAGCCAAAATTTTCTTTCAGCAACACCTCGGCGGCGAACAGAATTTTTTTCTTTCAACGACACTTCAGTGGTGAGTTTTACAACAACACCTTGGTGATGAACCGAATTCTTCAGCAACGCCTTGGCAACAAGCAAAATTTCTCTTTCAGCAATACCTCGGCGGTGAGTAGAATTTTTCTAGGCAGCTACAGTCTGACGACGAGCCAATTTATTTCTTCGTAACTACACTTTGCTGAATCAAAATTTCTTTTGTAGCTACAACTATGACGACAAACCAAAATTCTTTTTGCAACTACACTTTGGTGGCGTGCCAAGTTGACAGGGTGTGACGAATCACTTTTGATATCATGCGATAAGCACACTTTACCCTTTTTTTATTTAGGTTGACTGAACTTGGAACAAACTTCCAAAATGCCTACATACCCTAAACAGGGATCAAGTCATCATGTAGTTCACAATTTTTTTTTTTTGATAGACAATTTATACTCATGTAAAGGAGTTTTTTTTTCAGGTAGACAGTTTAAACTCGTGTCAAGGAGTGTCATTTTTTTTTTTTTAAGTTGACAATTTATACTTATGTCAGGGAGTATCATCGAAATTTTGTTTTTGGGCAAATAGTTTATACTCGTGTCAAGGACTGTCATTTTTTTCTTTTCAGGTAGACAGTTTAAACTCGTATCAAGGAGTTCTTGATTTTTTTTTTTTCAAGTAGACAGTTTAAACTCGTGTCAAGGAGTTCTTGATTTTTTTTTCTTCAAGTAGACAGTTTAAACTTGTGCCAAGGAGTTCTTGATTTTTTTTTTAAAAGTAAACAGTTTAAACTCGTGTCAAGGAGTGTCATTTATTTTCAAGTTGACAGTTTATACTCATGCCAGGGAGTATCATCGACAGTTTAGGCTCGTATCTGGGAGCACCATCAACAGTTTAGGCTCGTATCTGGGAGCGTCATCGACAGTTTAGGCTCGTATCTGGGAGCACCATCGACAGTTTAGGCTCGTATCTGGGAGCATCGTTGACAGTTTAAGCTCGTATCTGGGAGCATTTCAATTTTTATTATTCTTCAATGTTACAAGAATCAGACAGCAATCCAAGCTTATACTGAAGGGTATGGACTATCTCGTCGTCATTTTGAGAATTTTCTTCTTGGTTTCCTTGACTTAAAGCCCCTTGTGATTTTGCACTTTCGGTTGAAATCATTGTTATAGCATGGTGCATTTCTTGATGCAAATCTCTTGAGTTGATGCTTATAATGAAAGATGATGCTACTTCGTCATCCGAGTTAAGAAGTATATTGTCTTCTTCTTCTGACTCACTTCCCTCATCTTTTTGAAGGTTGTCGGGTATATCTGGAACATCTCTCCTAGCACCATGATTTTCCATGCTAAGCTCCATATCGTAGGCTTGAGTAACAAGCTCTTCAAATGTGCGAGGCTTAATCCCTTGTAGGATGTAAAGAAGCTCCCAGTGCATGCCTTGCATACATGCTTCAACTGCAGAAATTTCAGATAAATGATCCT